GTGTCAAACTCTGTAAAATATATTTGAAGCATATGTATGTGAAACAGTATGTTTTTAAATAATTAAGTATTGTCCTTTAAAAATTTCAAATTTTTCTGTATTTTTATAAGGTTTCATTAGAATTCCACTAATGGGACATAGGCTGTCTCACAACAAGCGGTGACTGATACAAATTTTCCAAGAATTATGGGAGCTAAGACTGCAAAAGAAGCGTGGAAGACGTTGCAGGAGGAGTTTCAAGGAAATGACAAGGTACGTGCTATCAAACTTTAATATCTAAGAAGAGATTTTGAACTATTGAAGATGAAGGAGTCTGAGACAGTTAAAGATTACTATTCTAAAGTTAAAGAAATAGTTAATCAAATGAGAGCTTTTGGGGAGGATATTCTTGACAAGAAAATTGTTGAGAAAATTCTAATTACTATGCCCCCAAAATTTGACCCAATTGTGACAACAATAGAGGAAACCAAAGATCTGTCTACTCTATCAGTGACAAAACTAGTGGACTCTCTTGAAGCATATGAGCAAAGACTACATAGGCATAAAGAAGATACACTTGAAAATGCCTTTCCGTCAAAGCTCAAATTTAAGTCCCAAAATAAAGAAAATGGAGGAAAGAAAAATTATGGTGAAACTTCCAAAAGAAGAGAAGTTCCTATAAATTTCCAAAAGAACAATCCAGATAAAAATATTCCATGCAATATATGCAAACGACTAGGCCACGCGGAGAAAAGTTGTTGGTACTGTAATATGCCACAATGCAATCATTGCAAGAAATTCGGGCACATAGAGAAACATTGTCGCAACAAAAATAGGCATCAAGCTAATATCGCAGAGGAGCATGATCAAGAACAATGTATGTTCTATGACACTCAAGAATCAATCAAAGAAAAAGGAGGAAGTTGGTACTTGGATAGTGGATGTAGCAATCACATGGCTAAGGATGAGACTATTTTCAAAAGCATTGATGAGTCAGTCAAAGTCAAAGTTCGACTAGGAAATGGAAGTGTGGTTGAGTCAAAAGGAAAAGGCACCGTCGTGGTAGAGACAAATAAAGGTACGCGACTCATCCATGATGTCTTACTAGTTCCCAGCCTAAAAGAAAATCTTCTAAGCATTGGCCAAATGATGGAGAAAGGCTACACACTTCACTTTGAAGGAGGTGTATGAAAAATCTTAGACAACAAGAATAAAAGGGCCGAGATAGCCGAAGTGAAGATGAATAAGAGCAATAGAAGCTTCTCGCTAAATTTAAAATATACAACTAACATTGCCATGAAGGTACAAGTTGATGATTCATGGCTTTGGCATCGAAGATTTGGCCACTTCAACACACATGCCTTGAAGTTGTTACATGATAAGAACATGATGAGAGATCTTCCAAGCATAAAGGATAACAATGAAGTGTGTGAAGGATGTCTCCTTGGTAAGCAACACCGATTTCCATTCTCAACAAGCGGAGCATGGAGAGCAAAAGATCTGTTGGAGCTGATACATACTGACGTCTGTGGACCGATGAGGACGCCATCACACGAGAACAACAGGTACTTCATACTCTTCATTGATGACTTCTCTAGAATGACATGGGTCTATTTCTTGAAAGAAAAATCAGAAGTTTTTGGAGTATTCAAAAGGTTCAAGGCCCTTGTTGAAAATAAAAGTGGAAAGCGAATAAAAGTACTAAGAAGTGATCGCGACAAAGAGTACACATCCCGCGAGTTTGATAGATTTTGTGAGGATGAAGGCATAGAGCGACAACTTACAGTCGCATATTCTCCTCAGCAAAATGGTGTGTCTGAGAGAAAGAACCGCACAATTATGGAGATGGCTAGATCAATGCTCAAAGAGAAGCGACTACCTAACACATTTTGGGCTGAAGCAATCTACACTGCTGTTTACTTACTCAACAGATGTCCAACTAAATCTGTACAAGATAAGACTCCAATTGAGGCTTGGAACGGGAAGAAGCCATTAGCAAAGCACCTAAGGGTCTTTGGATCTATATGCTACATTCATATTCCAGACGTGAAGAGGCATAAGCTTGAAGGCAAGACTATACGAGGTATCTTCTTGGGGTATAGCACAATATCTAAAGGCTACCGTGTATATAACTTGAAAACAAAAAAACTCATCATCAGTCGAGATGCTGAAGTTGATGAGAATGCTTCTTGGAATTGGGATGAAGAAAAAGTGGAGAAGAATGTTCTTATACCCACTCAACTACCTCAAGAAGAAGCTGAGGAAGAAGTCCTAGGTGAACCTTCTTCACCTCCACCACAACAACAAGTTCAAGAACTATCATCACCAGAGTCTACTCCAAGACGAGTAAGATCTTTGAGAGAGATATATGAAACCTGCAACATGGCCATACTCGAACCTGGAAGCTTTGAAGAAGCATCAAAGTATGAAGCATGGGTCAAGGCAATGGAAGAAGAGATAAAGATGATCGAGAAAAATAACACATGGGAGTTAGTAAATCGTCCCCATGGAAAAGATATCATTGGGGTTAAGTGGGTCTATAAGACAAATCTTAATCCTGATGGCACCATACAGAAACATAAGGCGAGGCTAGTAGCTAAGGGTTACTCACAACAACCTGGGGTTGACTACAATGAGACATTTGCACCAGTAGCTCGTCTTGATACCATTAGAGCTCTAATAGCTCTTGCGGCACAAAAAGGATGGAGTATACATCAACTGGATGTCAAATCTGCCTTCCTCAATGGTGTACTTGAAGAAGAGATCTATGTGGAACAGCCACAAGGATTCATATCTGAAGGCGAAGAGAGCAAAGTGTTAAGACTAAGAAAAGCACTATATGGTTTGAAGCAAGCTCCTCGAGCATGGTATAGCAGAATCAATCAATATTTCATGGATCAAGGATTTAGGAGAAGCAAGAGTGAACCCACACTATACATCAAGTCTCAAGGTCAGTACACTCTCTTACTCTCTCTATATGTATATGACCTTATCTACACGGGAAACAATACTAAGATGATAACGGAGTCCAAAGAAGACATGATGAAGACCTTTGAGATGACCGACCTTGGTTTGATGAGTTACTTCCTCGGTATAGAGGTAAGCCAAAGAAATGAAGGGATATTCATCTCACAAAAGAAATACACAGAAGGCTTACTTAAGAAATTCAAGATGTACGGTTGCAAACGTGTCGCTACCCCACTCATAACAAATGAGAAACTACAAAAGAATGATGGAGCACCAGAAGCTGATGCATCCAAATATCGAAGTTTAATTGGAAGCCTCCTATATTTGACAGCTACGCGGCCAAACATAATGTATGCTACAAGTCTTCTATCAAGATTCATGCAAAGTCCAAGTCAAATACACTTTGGAGCAGGAAAAAGAATTTTGAGATATCTACAAGGAACAAAAGAGTTAGGTATATGGTATTCTACCGAAACTAACTCAGGATTACTTGGCTACACCGATAGTGATTGGGTAGGTTCGATAGATGACATGAAGAGCACCTCTGGCTATGCTTTCTCACTCGGATCAGAAATTTTCTCTTGGGCGTCGAAGAAGCAAGCTACGGTTGCACAATCCACAGCAGAAGCAGAGTACGTGGCAGATGCTGAAGCAACGAGTCAAGCTATATGGCTTCGTAGGATACTTGAAGACATGGGAGAAAAACAGGATCAGCCAACTAAAATCAATTGCGACAACAAATCAACAATTGCAATGACAAAGAATCCAGTGCATCACAGTAGAACAAAACATATAACAATCAAGTATCACTTTATAAGAGAAACTGAAGCAACTAAAGAGATCAAACTCGACTACTGCAGAACAGAAGATCAAATTGCAGACATATTCACGAAGGCGTTGCCGAGACCAAGATTTGAAGAGTTACGAGTTATGCTTGGAGTCAAAGAAATTTGTATCAAGGAGGAGTGTTAAATTTGCTACAAATTTCTAGAGAGTTCTTAAATATAATATGTAAGAAAATATAGAACATCCTAGAAACTATAAGGTGTATGAATATGGTAGAATAATCTAGATATATAAGTATATGACAAAGATAGAAAAATCTAGATTTATCATGATAATAACCTATCATGAGAACTCTAGAATATTCACCACCATTGAAAGGTTGGTGACTTATAAATAGGCATTTGCTACATTGTAAATTATCATCCAAAAAATTAATCATAAAACTTTCTTTCTAAACTACTCTCTAAAACTATCTTCTACCAACTATCATCTAAACAATTTCAAACAATTTCACAAATACAACTATTGTTTTATGTTATACTCTCACTGTACTAATTTATAAACAAAAAAACACTCATTTTTCTGTTACAAATTATAAATAAAAAAAAACATAAACTTTATTTAATTTAATTATTTTATTCTAAAACATTTATCTTTTCCAAGTTAAATGCAAATTACATTTAATTTGGTTTCTCTTATATTTTTTTCCATAAACAACATTCAATCAAAATAGTTCTTACATCTTCCCATAAAACATATAAAAAATATATAAACCTGAATTTAATGACGACGACCATTTTTTTTTTAAAAGTTTTTATCGATATTTTTTTTCCTTTTCTTTCGAGGTACGACACTTATCAAATGTGAAAGATGGACGTGCATAGTTTGAATGGAATGAAATAATAAAGTGATTGAGAACAAGGTTGAAAAAGTGTTGGAAACTAGCGCAAACCTTGGTAATGTGCACCAATTTTTGAGTGACATGATATAAAATTTCAGCCTTAGAATACACATAATGCAAGATGAATCAGAATTGAAATCAAACGTGTAATTGTTGGAATACCTAGTTAACTTCTTATAAACCATATATGTTTATAGGAAATTATGTCTATAGGATCCACTCACATTTATTCAGATCTTTTTGTAAATCAAGATAAACCACCCAAATAAGCCACATATTTAAAATTGATCAACAAACTCTTCAAATTGAACTGATGCTTTTTCGCTAGACTCCATTGTCGGGAAGCTCATGGATTCCTCTAAAAATGTCAACCTCCTATCTCTTTTGAAGAAGTCGCTGAAAGAGCACGAAAACGATCAGTAACATATATCATATATCAATTTATAGGAGATGAACCAATATTTGAAATACAAAAAACAATACTAAATTTCATTTATTCCTAATCCTACCTGAATGTTCAATCTCCAATGTTTCTCCTACCAAAATTTCTTCTATGCATTGGTTCTTGGGATTACATTCACAAGCCTCTCTCTCACCAGAGGATTCTTTTGGCGGATCTTGTAGAAGACTAGAAAAATTAGTAGTGATTTCCTTCACGGCATTTTCATGCCCCGCGTCAATCCGTATGGTTTGGCCAAAAAGCACAATCTGAGTCGGCTTTGCATGATCCTGTTTCTCTGATGGTGAGCACGAAACATTCTCACTGTCGTTCGCCTTTTGCAATGCATGATCCTGTTTCTCTGATGGTGAGCACGAAACATTCTCACTGTCGTTCGCCTTTTGCAATGCATGATCCTGTTTCTCTGATGGTGAGCACGAAACATTCTCACTGTCGTTCGCCTTTTGCAATGCATGATCCTGTTTCTCTGATGGTGAGCACGAAACATTCTCACTGTCGTTCGCCTTTTGCAATACAGCTTTAGTTGGGTTAGTTGGGACAGTGTTCGCCTTTTGCAATACAGCTTTAGTTGGGTTAGTTGGGACAGTCATCGATGTTGTAGCATTAGGATCAAATGGTGGTTGGAAATCGGAGTTAAACAGACCTAATGGAGACTTATTGACGTGAAGGTCTGATAAAGAGAGACCAAAAGGATTATGCCTGGCTCCCTGCATACCATGAAAAATTGGAACATTTGGAGTTTGAATGTAGTTTGGAAAAGTTGGCATTGAAAATTGGCCATCAGTGGGGAAAGCTTCATGTTCAAGCAATCTCAGTTTCTTCCTTGATGATGGCAAGAAAGAGGAAAAAGGGATTGAAGGCATGCTCGATATTATTTCCACTTGCCACGGATTCACCCTTTTCGTACTTTTAAGTAAATCAGCTTCATCCCATGTAACCTAAAATGTATGATATCAGAAGATAAACTGAAACAATGTTGTAAATGGGCAATTAGTTATATTTGATTTATAATTGAGTTCAAAGGAGTATATACCTGCAGAAATCTCCAAAGAGAGTCGGGCCATGCTGGATCAGCAGCCTGAACAGAAGCGATTGTTCCCAAAAACCAACTTATCCTTGACGAGTCTTCGGTTTCAATGGCCATCTTGAACCTCATTCCACAACACCAACGAATCTGAAGTGCTTTTCTAATCGAAGAAGTTTTCACAAAAAACTCGGGAGTATCAACCCGAGGATAGTAAACAACATCAAACGGTTGCATATTGACACCAAGTCTTACTGCTTCGAGAACATGTTCAGCCTTCACTTTTCCCCTACCCAAAATATTATCACTTTTTCTCAATCCATTTTCTTTATCATTCGTTTGAAGTTTATTATCCTTCTCCTCTGAAGAGGAGGTAAGTCCGAAGAATGAACCAATACGAAATCCAATTTCACTACCAGATTTCCTCTTTGATGAAGGGTTAAATCCAATATCTTTTAGTCTTTTAGACCTTCGAATCCCAATATGAAGATCACCGTTTTCAGCCCTCAAAAACACAAGTGAATCCCCCGAAACAAGTAGCTTTTCGGTTACAAAATCACTCCAGTTAGTGGTTAACAAATGCCGCTTCGGCGTGCCCCTATATACATGTTTGAATTCCCACATTTTGCCATGAACATCCGTGGGATATATGTATTGAGAAGGAGGGATACCTGTATAATCTAACGGAGGAAAAAGGGTTTCTGCACAATACCTAGGACATGAAAATCCACCACCATTGTTTGCATCAGATTGCGTCAATATTTTTGTATAAGACTGATATTTACTCTTAGTCTCCGACATCTCATCGATGCCAGCAGCAACATCATCATAACTAACCTCATTAATATGCAAAGGAACAAGCCGGAGTTTTGCATACACCTCATCTGTGTCAATATCAGCCCTATAATCAATGGCCACAACTCTACATGGAATAAAAGATGGAATTTTGAAGTCAACACTAAAATCAACCTGTTCATAAGCATGCTCGGCATGACCTTGAGGAAAGTAGAAGATGTTAGAGTTAACTTCTGGAATTTGCACCATTCCTCCCGCAACCGCATGCCATAATTGAGGATCCACATCTTTGTTCCCATCATTCATCTCCTTACCTCTTCTGTTTGCTTTGTTAGTTCTCACCATATCAAAATTGAGTTCTGCGAGATTTAGTCATGAAAAGTCATGAAAATGTGTTGTTGTGAGTGTTACCCTAATGAATTTCTTATCTAAAACACAGTAGTAGCATAATAAAAATAGGTCACAGTATTTCGCTCCCAATTATGATAACACAACAAAAATAGTAACCAGCCATGATCAAGTTTTAGTATATCGCTCCCAATTATGATAACACAACAAAAATAGTAACCAGCCATGATCAAGTTTTAGTATAAGTTAATATTTATATGTTTGGTATTAGTAAGTGAAGTAGTTTGAAACAAACCCTAAAAGAGAAGAACAGTGAAAATAATAACCTGTTTAATGTGAGAGTATTTTGTCTGCGTGCGGCTGCAAAAAAAATAAGAAACGAAACACAACATAAACTATATATGCAAAAACCCTTGGCAGGCTCTGAGGATAGTGTTTCGCAAGAATATCTCCTGAAAACAAGTTTATGGTTCCGTTAAAATAGGGTTTCTGAGTGTAAAAGTATAACAGAATCATGTGTTTTTGTTTTTGTCCCTCATGCCCTAATTATAGGAATGTCTAACAAACATGGTAGATATTAGGATGAAGTCTTCAACATATTTTAGTTAAATACGACTAAAATATCGATTTTATATAATCACGCATATTATATAATTATTAATAGAGAAAATTGGTGATGCAATGTTAACCAATTATTATCATTTATTTGGTTGAGTCAGATTGAAAATTTTAAAGTAGTGATATGATACGACAAAATAATAAATTTTTATTGAATTATAGTATAAAAAATGTTTACATCATTAGTGTATCATCATTAAATCTTTATTAATATTAGTTGATTTGAATTTTTTTTATTATAAATTAAAGACCGTTTTCTCCTTTACTATTATAATAAAAAAATTTTGATAACTATTATAAATAAAAAATTAATATTTTTCGAACTATTTAATATTTTTTATTAATATATTCTTTATTGAATTTAAATATTGGGACATCCCTGTAATAAAATAATAGTTATATTATTAATATATTTTTCTCTCAATCTCTTGTATTTTTTGAAATTTTTTTAATATAATATGATTTTTCAAAATTAAATCTAAATAAATGATTTATTTTTTAAAAAATTACGAAAATGATTGAATTTTTAAGAAGATTCGCCATGTGAAATGGCTAATTAAGTCTCCCAAACCTGATTCGGCAGTTCATATGGCGCATGGGTTTAATGGGTGCCCTAAAACCCTACATTGAATCGCCATATGAGATGGCGTAGGGCTCTTTTTCTAATTGTTTATATTTGTTTTTAAAATCTTATAAAAATTATTTGTTATATTTTTTATATTTGTTATATTTTCGTTATATTGAAAAATATTTTTTTTTATTTTTTTTAATCTATGATATTTGTTATATTTTAACACTTTTAATTAATATTAAATATGTAATATTTAGTTATTTTTCACTTTAATTAAAAAAAATGATATTTTTAATAATTTAAAAAATATATAAATGCAAGAAATAGTAAATTATAATGATTTATAATATAATATAAATTACAATAGATGAAAAAAAGAAAATTAATGGTCGGCTCTATCTAAACGACCACCGGTACCACATTGCGGAGGATGCGTGCGGCGTCGAGGTCTACCATGAGGTTGTTAAGGTGTATTTGGTCTTTGCGTGTTTACTTGTGGAAGAAGTATTTGTTGAGATGGCCCCAGCGTATCAGATAAATTTTGAAGCATTTGACCCCAAAAGTTAGGCTGGCCGCTATCAACAACGCTTCCGTAATTAAGTTCATTACCCATGTTTTCGTAGTTTTGTTGGGGAAGTTGGGTGTGGTGTGGATGGTATGGTTGTTCGAATTGGTACATCGAATCGGTTTGGAAATGATGCATTGGTTGTTGTAGGGTTTGGTAGTGAAAAAGTGGATAAGTATTTTGTTAGTAGGAAGATTGATTGTCTGGTGTGGGGTCAAAAGAGTTATTTGGGCTATTGGTGGATGGGGTAGGGTCAAAAGATGTATCAGGGCTATATGAAGAAGTGGTGTCGATTTCAAAAGGCTGGCGGTATGGGTAAGGCTCTTGTTGTTGTGATTGGGTTGATGGCATGTATGCGTTGCAGTTTTAGAAGATTGATTGGATGGGCATAGTTGGATGTTGGGTATAACATGGTGTTGGGCATTGGGTTACTGTTGTGAATTCGAGGAAGACGCATGTTGCCTTGCGTCAATCAAATATGTCGGCTCAGACACAAATGATTGTGAGGTTGTAACCGACCTAAACCAAATCATATATTGATAACTTGGTTTAGCCCCTTCCACAATAGGGTCGGTTAAGATGTGTTAATGTCGGTTTTTTTCAATGCAGACACATCTCTTTCACAAAGTCCTTCCAATAATTTACACTCCATTGTGTATCCACCCTTAGCTGATGCTAGTGTCCCAATGACGTTGGAGCATTTGGAATATCCTGATGCATCCCGAACTGTAGTTTCACCCGGTCACTTTGGTGCATCTCCACTGTAGTGAACCGAATGATAGATGTTTTAGATGTCCGCACGGAAGTATCATTAGCGTTGGGCTGGTGCTCGAGAGCCTCGTACAATATCCAGACAAACTACATTAACAATATATGCAATGAGAAATACAAGTATGTGTTTATCAATTAGACAAAGTAATAGTAGATAAATTACATCATTTGGCCCAATGTATTCAATAAGATTGCGGTACACGATTATGGAGTTTCTGGGACATCTTTGGTAATTCATTCCCGGAACAGACCGCCTAAAAAAATAAACACAAATAAATTAGATACTAAGAAACATTGTACAAATAATTAAGTTACAAAGAAGCATCGTTTGTATACTCGTCTTGAAAATAAACTTACTTGTTAGCGTATGGGAATGTGAATAAATTGCGGTTGACTGAAGCAAGTGTTGGCATCCTAGACCAACCCCACGCTTGAAGAAGATAAGCGCAACCATAAAAAGTACAAGAAATTTTGTTTTTTGCATTTTTACATAATGCACTATATATATGGGCGAGGACAGCTGAACCCCAACTATATGTGCACACTTTATTAATGTTGTGCAACAACGGTAAATACATAATATTTATAGTATTTCCAGTACTGTTTGGATATAAAAAATGGTCAAACAATATCATAATATAGCACCGAGTTTTAAGTATCTTATCATACTCGGTAAATTCCTCATTTAACACGATACTATTGTAGTGTTGTCTGAGGTATTTCAAATTAACACCTTGCCCCCTCGATCGACCCACACATTGTGGCTGATGTGTATCGACACATAGAGGGGCGCCTAATAAATCTTCGCAAAGTTGGTCATTAACACCAAATTTTCTGTTGACGGCCTTACCGTTGATGTGTAGGCCAAGTAGCATGTATACATCCTATAAATTTACGGTACATTCACCGAAAAGTAGGTGAAATGTGTGTATTTCTGGTCTTCAGCATTCTAACAACGCTAGAATAAATTTGAGATCCAATGAGTACGATTTGATTTTGATCAAATCACCGAACCCACATGCTTCTAGATATCCTTCTATTAAAGGGACGTGTGGTATGTAGTCATGCACACGATAGCAAAACCTTGATACATCCTGCGAAAGAATATAAATGTCATTAGGTTTAAAGGAAAATTAAACTTCGTAAAGATCGACAACAAAAAGAATAATACTTACAAACTCTGCGATGTTCTCAATTGTGCCTCTGTGATTGTTGCTCATTGTGAGTAGAGACATTGTGGGTTAAGTTTGCTGAGTGAAGTTTGCTGAGTGAAGTTTGATGAGTGAAGTTTGCAGCGTGACAAGAAGATTTTGTAGAACATATGAGGAGTAGAGTTGGTAATGGGATGAGAAGATTTTGTTCTTTGATGAACATGTATTTATAATGGTCAAATGTGATGAGTCAAATGAAAATGCATGCTAAAGTGTGCAAGTTCCTAAGTGCATGAGTCACGTGAAAATGCATGCTGAACTATGCAAGTTTCTAAGTGCATGAGTTACATGAAAATGCATGTTGTGGTGTTGTCGTTCATGCAGAGTGTTGGCCTGCTTCGGTAATAATGTAGGTATGTGAATGCTACGTCTATCAATGCATGCTAAAACATGATGACAATGGTTCAGGGAAGCGTGAAAGTGTGGTCTTGTCATGCATGTGAAGTAAAAAACATTAGTGTAGTGTTGTCATGCATGTAAAGTGTTATAAAAATATATGTTTTGTAAGAGTGTAGTGTTGTCAAGCATGCATGCTGAATTTTTATGACATGGGTGAAGGGAAGCGTGCAAGTGTAGTCTTGTCTCACAAGATTCTTGGTCATTGGAATGCAGATTATATTACAGTCATTGATTGATAGAGTGTAGTCTTAAAGGTTTTTTTCCTTTATTACACAGTAATGATCACAAGTATGCAGCGTATAGTGTAGTCTTGGAGATATGAAGATGTAGCCTTACAAGTATGCAACGAGACTAATACTGTAGCCATGTGTACACATTTATTAGTAAGAATCTTGTAGGCATGCATAGAATCAGAGTGTAGACGGTAGGCTTGTAGAGTGCAGACGATAGGCATACAGAGTATATAGTGTAGACATAGTAAGAATCTTGTAGGCATGCATAGAATCAGGGTGTAGACGGTAGGCATGCAGAGTGTAGAGTGTAGACATAGTAAGAATCTTGTAGGCATGCATAGAATCAAAGTGCAGACGGTAGGCATGCAAAGTGCAGACGGTAGGCATGCAGAGTGCATACGGTAGGCATGCAGAGTGTAGAGTGTAGCCATGCAGAGAATCGTGTAGGCATACAACACATGACAAGTCTCGACTTAGGTGACGATGAACCCTCAAAAGATATTTTTTACAATCCTAACTATGCAACAGAAGGACTATTAAAAGAGGGCGACAACTTTCGTACAAAAGAAGATTGTGCCCGAGCAATTAAACAATATCACATTTATCAGCAGATTATAGAGTCAATCGAA